GCCTTGGGCTGGCCGTCCAGCCGCTCCAGGTGCGTCAGCACAGGCGCCATCTGCTCGCGAAGCGCGCGCTGGTCGGGCAGCGAAGAGAGGTACAGCGCGGCCAGGTAGTCGGTGAAGGTGCGGTGGAGCGGCTGATAGATGTCGCGTCGCGCTTCTGCACCTTGGACACGCTGACGACGCGCGTCAGAAAGCCCCACTCGAACACCTCGCGGTCAGGAACATGGTTGACAATCTCCTGCTCAGTGTAGAAGACGCGTCCCTCCAGGCACAGCTGGACAGCAATCTTGCCAAACTGGCGCAGCAGGCAGAGACAGCGCGGCGGCAGGGCACCGGCCTCGGGCCTCTCACCGCGCCCGCATCAGACTCCTCCGGATCAGGCAGTCGAACAACGTTTGGTAGAGCAGCGCCTCGCTCTCGGGAAGGCGCCGTCGCAGTCTTCGAACACGACGCAGAGCAGAGACAGAGAAGCGGGCAGCGGGCCAGCTCGCGCAGCGCCGGCCGCCGGCGCAGCTCGGCTTCCAGGCCGGCCACGCCCGCCGGTCGCTGCACGCAGCCGAAATACTGGCGCACGTAGCGGCCCACGTCGGGCCGTTCGAAGCCCTGGATGACGAGGCGCCGGTGCACCCAGGGCAGCGCGTCGGCCACGTGGCTGGGACGCGACGTCACCAGCACCGTGCTGTTGAGGAAGAGCCGGCCGGCCAGCAGCTCAGCCACGGCCGGCCGCTGCTCGTCGCGCAGCTCGTCCAGCCCGTCCAGTAGGAAGAGCACGCGGTCCTCGTGCTCTGCCAGGTACTGCCAGAGTTGCTCCATGCGGTCGCGACCGACGATGTGGCGCGGCAGCAGCTCGTGGTGCAGGAAGTTATACAGCGAGCCGCTGAACTCCCACAGCGGGATCAGGAACGCGAACTGCGGCGGACGGAACAGCGCTCACACGTGCCCGACATATCCAGCCAATTGTACAACAGATCAACAAAACAATCTACATGGACCCATTACCATTCACAACCATCGTGCTTACAAACGACGCGACAGTGTCTGCATTTTGTCAGTCCGATGGACTGATCCATTGAGGGAGTGACAAAGGCCCTTTATTATGATCGAACCCCAGCTGTCTGTTGATCTCACAGTACTTGAAAACAAAACCAGTCATAACTGTTTTGGCGCTGGCATACGGGAGCGTCTCTGATCCTCTTTCGGCAACAGCTGGCTATTCATCCCCAAAGTTCAAAGCCATGGGCTGGCGCCGCAGTGCACCGTCTGGACAAGTCCCCCGAGCGAGGCGCGGCGCCACCGGCGGCGGGCACCGGGGCGCGGTCGGCCGACTGACCTGGAAGCCGGAGAGGTAGGAGGACGGCCGGTCGGTGGCCCAGTCGTGCAGCAGCTTCAGCGCCAGCGTGCTCTTGCCAAAGCCGGGCTCGCCCTCCACGAGGATGCGGCGCGGCCGGGCCGGCACGCCAGCCTCGTGCGCCTGCCGGACACGGGACACATCGCTCAGCACACCCCCGGCCGGAACGGCAAGGGCCGACGCCGGGGCCGGCGCCGGCTGGCCGAGTCACACCAGCTGTGTACACTCCAGGCAGGGAGCAGTTCTCCACTGGCCTGGGGCCAACAAAGGCCACGCGGTCGGGGACCATCGCCGTATCCTGGCCGGTAGACTGGAACGTTGCGAGAGTGCACAGCTCGTGTTAAACGAGTCTGTAGGTAAGGGGGCGACCTGTTACGCCCTCGTAGGATAACGCGTATCGCCGCTCTTACGCAGGTAGAGAGCACAGCTGACCTGATTAAGGTGCTGCACCTGGTCAGGATGTGGTGTTGTTTACTGTGAGCGCTGTCCGCACCTGGTCATGGCCAGGATCAGAGAATATCGGTACCACTAGACAGAGGCTCTGATCAGTCAACGGTAAGGGAGAGCGTCATCATCAGTGAAAGGGGTTGTTCACTGCCAGAAGTCCGATAATTTTGCCCAAATCAATGGCGACAAAGCCTGCCGACCTCCAGTGGTAAGAGCGCCCGTTGATCTTCAGCAGCGAAACAACATGCTCACCATCGACTGTGAGCAGCGGATCTACGCACCACTGGCGGCAGGAGGATCTGCTCACCGTCAGCGGAGGAAGCTGCTCACCGTCAGCGGCGGGAGGATCTGCTCACCGTCAGCACGAGGATCTGCTCACCGTCAGAGGAGCGAGAATCTGCTCCAGCTCCACCGGCTGGTACACCCGCTCGCCGCGTGCCGACATGGACGCCAGGCTGAGCGCGATGAAGTACTCCTGCAGTGGCAGCCGGAACTCGGGACACCACGGGATCGGCTGCAGCCGCGTCAGCGTGTCCAGGCAGCGCGTGCGCAGGTGCGACACGATGCGCCCGGTCAGCGCCGTCAGCGGGCTGCTGGCCGCCGGCGACGAGCCCTGCGCATACCCGGCGGCCGTCAGCGAGGTGATCCCGTCAGAGGCCGCTGCTTCCACACTAAGAATCATCGCGCCTCAGTTGCATCAATTACATCAGCTAGACTGCGGTAATAATGGTTTCGGTACTGGAATGCGCAGTAGAGCAAGCAGGCGCCATGCATTTTTGCTTTTCACCACAAAATACATTTCATCAAGCTCCAAAGAATCATACAAATAACTTCATTTACAAAGAATGACGCTTAGGCCCGTTTGCCTTTGGTTCGCAGCATTATCCCAACTACCACACGTCACAAACATCGCCAGCCTCCGACCGCACCACCAACCAGGCCCGCCGCGCGCCCGTCCCGCCCGTGCAGGCCCACCGGCGCCGGCGCCGCCGACCGACCTTGTCGAGGTCGGCGGGCGGCGACGGGTAGGGCGGCGGCGACGGTTGCCCGGCCAGCTGCACTTTGATGACGTTGCCGATGACCACATCGCTGCTGCCGGTAACGCGGACGTCTCCGACGTAGCTGGGCGGCCCGACGGCGGCCAGCACGTCCTGCAGCAGACTGGGCAGCTCGCGCTCCGGCGCCGGTCGCGTCTCGACGGCGCCGCCGGCCAGCGGGCTCGCAGTCGGGTACGCACCCGGCACGGCGCCGTTGGTGTGGCGGCCGGCCGGCGCCGCCGACCGGCCGTGGCATGGCGTGTCACACTCCTGTGTCTGGGCGCTGCTCTGGTCGCTGTAGCCGCTGTCCGGCGCCTGCGAGACAACATTCACTGTGGTCAGTGCTGACTGGGCAACAGCCACTGTTGGCTGTGGCGATCAGATAACAATCGCTGCGGCCGCCAGGGGCGTGGGAGCGACCAACAATAGTCACTGTAGTTACCTGCAGGAGCATGGCAGCGAGCAAACGACTACCACTAGTACCAACATCCGCCACGGAACAATCCCTGGGGCCAACGCCGACCAGAAGCCATGTTTCAAATCGGTGCCCCGGGAGTGACCAGACGGCGGATGGCGTGGTCTGCGTTGCCATGACAACAGTCGCTGGCAGCCGTCGTCTGGTGCCAATCAGTGACCAAACGTCTGATAAGCCGTTCGGTCTGCCGCAGACGCGTCACCACCAGCGAACACCGGCATTGGACGTTGAACTCTGCACGTCCCATGGTACACACACTGTCTGATTGCCAATTGGTGACCGGGCGCCCGCGACGCATTCGCGGCGGCGTTTTAATTCCCCTGGCAGCAGTGCCAGAACAGTGATGTCCGGGACACTGGTGGCCCGGACGAAAACGGACAACAGCGCCCAGGACAAGTAGCTGGGATGGAATACCCAGGACAACAGTGCCTGGGATAGCAGTGACTGGGACAACAGTGACTGGGAAAGCAAGGCCTATGACAACAGAGCCTGGGAAAGCAGTGACTGGGACAGCAAGGCCTAGGACAACAGTGCCTGGGACAACAGTGACTGGGACAGCTGCAGCGTCCTGACCAGCAATACCCAGTCCATCAGTGCCCAGGTGGGCAGTGCGCACCTGACCAAGGCCGTTGTGGACGGGCACGGCGTCGCTGACGGTGGAGACCGGGTCAGAGTCGGGCTGCGAAGGGACCGGCCAGTCCGGCTGGCCAGCCTCCTCCTCTTCACAGGCCGACCAGCTGCCGGCCTCATCCAGTAGGTTGTTGACGCTGATCTCGTCGGCGAATGGGCCGCGACCGACGGCCGCGTCCTCTGACGACTCAGAGTACCAGCTGTGCAGCCGCTGCGGCGCCCGGCATACCGGCAGCGCCCGCTGCTGTGCCACACACGGTGATGAACGTGAGAGTGGCAAGCAGGGCTCTCCAGGGCACGCATGTCACACTGTCAGCAGCTGGTGCCAGCTCGGACATATACCACAGGCTGAGAGAGCACCAGGAAAGCTAACCACACAGGTAAAAATGCAGCTGCAGGGGAAAACAAGTCTGTTCTCAGGACACAATGCTGACAGTGCTGACAAACTGACCAAGCTGAACATCATTAGCAACTGAAACCTGAAAGTGGTGCTGGCTTTTCCTATCTGGCTTTGGCCCAGGCAGTTCAGGTAGCAGATGTGCTTGCTTGCTATTTCACACACAAATATGTACAAGCAAACTTCTATATGTGATGGTCAAATGCATGTATACATGGCTCCACTGATTGCTAGAGAACACTTATGAACCCACATTACCTGTGAGGACTCATCTGGCACCTGTTCATCAATATATGGGAAGTCCATCATACTGTGCATGCAGCTCCATTCTTCAGAAACATCTGGAAACATTGAGAACATGTTGTCCATGCTTTCAATTGTGCAGTGATACATGTCAAGGACAAATCAAATCCAAACACATTTTTTGGCATCCCCAGGCAGGCACATTGATGTTCTAGTATGTGTTTTTGTCTTTGTTTTCTATGATCTAGTGTGTTTTTCATGGTCATGACCAAAACTCACCATGAGACTTTCCCTGATGACCTTTGTGAGACCTTTATGACCTAGCATGTTTTTCATGGTTATGACCAAAACTCACTTGATGGAAATATATCACACAAATCATAACACAAAATTTCCAGTATGACCAACCATCCTGCCACTATGCAAAAGCCAACCCTATTTTCCAAACTCAACAAATTGCAGAAGGAAGATGATTGTGCTACATTCAGCAAAAAATCAGATGAAAGTGAATAAAAGTGAATTATTTCATTAAATGCTGGTAGTGAAGTTCCAAGTGAAAAGCTGACCATACTGACAAGATACATGGTTACATATATGTATATATATGTATATATATATATATATATATATATATATATATATATAATCAAATTGACTTTTGTTTACCTTCAGCAGTTTGGTTTCACTTGGTTCCAGTTTTGTCAACAGCACATTCAAATGCATCAATTATGTAACTGAGACAGGCAATTAAAAACATTTGAAGGCAAAAATGCCTACTTTTATGAACAAATATTTCAATCAGGAGCATAGAGATGACCACACATGTAACTTCAATACTAAAACCACACACTTCCCTGCTTACCCATGGTGGAATGGGTGGATTCAACTAACTGTGACACTCACTATTTCTCCTGGCTGAGATGGCTTACTGTGAGACACAGCACCACTCAAGGTCAGATAATGCTGGAGAGCACAGACATTGCCCATCTGCAGAATATAAACATTTTGCCATGAAGTTCAGTAGTTGAACAATGCTTTCCCAACTCCATGGTGGGGCCATTGTAACAAGCCCAACCCAAGGCAGGCTCAATTCCTCGGAACTAATTTATCAAAATGCTTGGAATAAATTTAGAACTTAAAATTAGCTTTGGATAACAAATATTCATAAAAATGCTCAAATTTGATTACTGCTTTACCTGTCCTAAAAACAATAAATGATAACATCCACTACATTATTCACATAGCAGTAGCAGAGGTGAGACTTTACTTCTGCTATTGTTTCGATAGCAGATTTTGATACCTGCCGAAATATCAATCCAACTATATCTACATTCTCCGGGTTTTTCTTTGAGGAATAAGGCTATTACTATCGTCGTAACTATGTCACCTTGTACTTCTCGCACTGCAGCAGAAAACATGATCATATTGCCATCTCCGGGACACCCTAATGCAGATGCCACCTGAAACTCACGTAACACACCTTGAGCTCAGCCTGGATAAAGAACGCCGCGATTCCCACAGTCCGCCCACGGTTCTGCCGAAAGTGACGTGCACGCCAGCCGCTCCCGCCCCCACACAACGCGACGCGCCATTCACGGCAAGAAGGTGTGTTCGGTAACTACGTTCGTCAGTCTAGCACGTCCGTCAATCTAGCAGCAGATTGATGTCCAGTTGCCAGTTGGATATTCCCGGGGCGTCACGATCGCCTCAAAATTTGTTGTGCATGATCTTCCCGACGCGCTGGTTCCGAAAATCACCGTCTTTGGGGTGGGATCTTGCGTAATTTCCGAGTTAGAAGGCGCGTAACATCGCCAGATCGACGTTGCAGGGTGTTTCGATTGCCCCCAAATTTGGTGTACAGGGCCTCCTTTACACGCTGATTCCGAAAATCGCTGTCTTTGGGGTTGAATTCCGGGTAACTTCCGAGTTATATAGCGCGTAACACCCCAGTTGGATACTGCGGGGGCGTCTCGAACTCGGAAGTTGCGTAAATCGGAAGTTGCGCGAAATCCCACCCCTAAGACTGTGATTTTCAGAATCAGCTTGTTCAGAAGGCCCTGCACACCAAATTTGGAGGCAATCGAGACACCCCGCGATATCCAACTGGGGTGTTATGCGCCTTGTAACTCGGAAGTTGCGCAAAATCCCACCCCAAACAGTGATTTTCGGAATCAGCGTTTCGAGAAGGTCGACGGACGTTCGGCAACTACAGAACGCCAGGGGAAGTACGTAACGTCATCTGACGTAAATGATTGTCATTGAGTTGACGCATACTGAGCGGTGCCGGCGAGACACACGGGTTTAGTGTCCTGTCTTTTCCACTTCTGCTACGTTCAATACAACACTGGAATCCATGCAGCCACGTTAAATAACTTCTGCGGGCCAATGCGAATCCTCTATTCTCCCTCGGCGGCCTACAGGCACTTCCAAGTGGAAAACTACTTCCGGCTGTAGGCCCGGCGAGAACTACGCTAAGCCGGCTCATGCATTACGGTGCAAAATCAAGGAGAGGGTATTTTAGAAGTCACGTTACGTTAAGCTGGCTCATTTTGTCCAGATAGATCATGGCAAGTAGAGTAAACCGCAGCGGTGGATACCTTAATTTCACCACCACACAGCACGCATTCAGTACCTTTGAACAATTGAACCTCCTCACCGGCCCTTTCGCCAAACTCCGCAGGTGCTGCGAGTCCTGTGCATGGTGTCCGTGACAGCGGTGGCCCTAACGAGTTGATTCTGAATTCACGACATATATCACATGAACCGTACCGTATATTCAAAAGAGCGTCCGCGCAACAGCGACCGACTTTTTCTTCTTTTCGACGGACTATATCCAGAAGCGGGGAGAGGGGGGGGGGGGGGTGAATTACCTCCGGCCACTTTCGGCTTGTCATGCCAAAAAAGTTGCGCTTAACCGTCTGATGCTGATGGCGCGAGGTAAGAGAGGGATCAATTGACGTTAGGCTACGTTAACCTGTCCTAGAAGATTTTAGCAAGAAGAGTCTGCGCCTATCTAATCCGGATAATCCCGCGCTTTTCTGGTAAATCATGCAGAAAACTTTTTAAATTGAACAATCCAATGCTACGAAGTGTAAATATTCAAAGAGGAAAGCGAGCAAACAGATATGCAAGAAGAGAATGGAGATTGAGCGAAAGACTATCGGGATTTGTGTAATTGTTGAGCGGTTATCTTGGTCTTCAGGACGCACGGCCGTTGCTGTTCCAGACACAAGGACACGACTGGTGGAGCCGTTTATTACAAATCATGTCGATGAACGCGCGGGGCGGATGATACTGCGATGCGGTGGCACTGCCGGGTGGCGGCCACACCTCCGCCTTCGCCCAGTCACACCCAGGCCGGCCCGGCCGTGACGTCACACGCCGGCTGGCTGGTCGGCGGCGGCGCCTCCGTCTTCACCGACTTCCATGGCCTGGTGGCCGGCCGCCGCGGACGGTGCCTCGTCGTCGCTGCTGTCCCGGTCGCCGCCCGGGTGCTGGGGTACGTGTCGGTCCGGCGCCGCCGCCCGGCCCGCCGCGCCCGGCGAGCGCCACGCCTGGCGACGGACACGGCCTCGTCAGGACGACGGCCGACCAGGGCCAGGCCGGTCCGTCCCGTCCATCGGTCACGTGCGCGCCCGACCAGGGCCAGGCCGGTCCGTCCCGTCCATCGGTCACGTGCGCCGGCGCGCACGTACGGCACGACATACCGTCACTGTTTCCAAGCACGTTTACTACCAATGGTTCGCAGGAGCCGCCGCTGCCCTCCCATGCCCTTCATGCTACGTGCAGTCTGGCCACTCCTCACGGCGATCATTCGAGAGAGATCACGCGGCACACGCCGTCGCACTCCCTCTCCATCCTCTGAACTCCCCCAGTGCCTGTCCCCTCAGACTCCACACACCCTCACATCTCCTTGTAGCCCCGACCTGCTGCTGATGATTCACATCCCCACGCCTCCCAGTATTCATGACTCTGACCCGCTATTTCCCCCTTGAGAAGTCCACACCCTCCTACACCTGTAAGTAGTCTTGACCCGCTACTGTTGTGTCACGGGGAGTCGTCTACACGCCCACCTGCGCCTCCAGGCACCCCTGACGTGCTGCTATCCTCCTGAGCTGAGGAGTCGATACCTTCCCACGTCCACCAGTACCCCTGACCCGTTGATATCCCCCTGAGGAGTCGATACTCTCCCACGTCCACCAGTACCCCTGAGTCGCTGCTATCCCCTGAAAGGTCGATACCCTCCCACGTCCGCCAGAAACCCTGACCTGTTGCTGCGCCTCTCCAGAGCCCATGCGTTGCATGTAGAGGTCATACACGAACTGCGCCATGTGGGGCATGTCGGTGGCGACGAAGGGCGGCGACTGCAGCGAAGCGTCCACCGGCCGCACCGTCGGGTACCGCTCAGCCGGACACAGCTGCAGCTGGGCCGGACGCTCGGCCAGCTGCGCATGCACACATGGTCAGACAGCACACTGCAGAAGGCGCAGCGTCCGGAGCAAAGAATACACTGCTTGCTAGCTTACAAGTTGTGCCAATGTAAATACTGAACTTGATATCCAATGCCTTTGTTTGCCAATGCAAGTTGTCTCAGCTGAGCTCACTAACGTCTTTCACGGCCCATGCTCGCGACAGCTGCAAACATATGCTTGCCGGCAAATACCCTCGTCATAGCGAGCGCTACCACCTGTTCGCGAGACGAAACCGTCGGTTAGAGCTCGGCTGGAACTGACAGCCCGCGACCCCCCCCTCCCCCCCCCCGTCTCTCTATAGGAGCGGGCGGAGCTCACCAGACTGAAGGCCGGAGTCAGCTCGAAGCAGTTCTGGAAGAGCGCCAGTCGGGCGAACACGTAGAGGCCGAGTCGGGCGCGCGACATGGCCACCACCAGCCGGCGCACGTCTCGCAGGTGGCCCACCGCCTTGGTGCGCACCAGCGACAGCAGGATGTAGTCGTTCTGCTGGCCCTGGTACTTGTCCACAGTGTCCACCTACGTGGCGAACACGCGGCCTGCGTCAGCTCGAACGAGCGGGCCACACCGCCGACGCGCAGACGGCCGCGGAAGGCGGGAGGGCCGCGCGCCAACAACCGCGGAAGGGACAAGCGCCGATAGCCTCACAGGCGGGAGAGAGGAGCGCAGACGGCCGCGGAAGGCGGGAGAGAGGAGCGCAGACGGCCGCGAAAGGCGGGGGGGGGGGGGGGGGGGCGCGCGCCAACAACCGCGGAAGGGACAAGCACCGGTAGCCTCACAGGCGGGAGAGAGGAGCGCAGACGGCCGCGGACGAGGCAGGTCGACCCAACCGTCCACGTGGATCTTCACATAGAAAGCCTTTTTGGCTAAAACATTTATGAGCATGTCATGGAAGAAGAAATTTGCTGCCCGAATGATGAAACGTCACTGAAATCATGAAACTCTGAGATCGACGAGCGGCAAATTGTCACAATAAATGCATGATTGTACCAAAATCTCACGCAGGATGATGCATTGCAAACGAGTGCATTATTATGCACAATCGCACGGCACACGCAAGCCCCACATTTCGGAGGTACAACCGGTGTTACGGTAATAATAATGCTCTGTCAACGGGACGATCGTCACCTTGCAGGGCTGGCCCATGACGGGGTTGTTGGCGCAGCGCTGGTTGATGACGTCACGGATCAGCATCTTCTGGCCGTTGTAGGTGGTCAAGATGGAGATCTTGTCGGCCGGGTAGCCCAGCAGGCGCATGTACATGTACACGGCCACCACATACTCGGCCTCGGCCAGGTTCTGTCGACGGCCGACAAGATGGCGGCGTCAGAACGGTGGCCGTGACGTCACCGACCACAGACGTGACCGGGTGGAGGGCGACCGGATGGTGAGCCGAGCCAGGCGTGCGCGGGTCAGGTACCCCTCCCCCTCCACACACACGCAGACAGAGCAGCACGCGCAGGGGCGGGCAGCGAGGGTCGCCGCGCATGTCCGGTAGCCATCGCAGTACCCCACATCCATACAGAGCCAACAGACAGCACGGGACGCCGGCCGACGCCGCTCCGCCGCGCTGGCCGTCCGTGGCGCGGTGTCCCCCACGCCGAGCTGGGAGGGAGCGCGCGACGCCCGACCCCACACCAGCAGCCGCACCTGGAAGAAGTACGGGTTGGGCTCGCTCTCGCCCACGCCGTTGAAGTCGTCCACGTTGACCACCTGGTAGTCGAAGCGGAAGCCGGCGTTGGCACGCTGGTATTCGGCCCGCTGCTGGACGTGCGGCAGGTCGCCCAGCACCGTGTACCGCCACTTGTAGAGCGCGCAGATGCTGCAACAGGGCGCGACGGTCCCAGGCGGTGACGGCAGAGCAGCGGAGGCAGCGAGGGGGAGGGGGCATCGCCAGGAGATAACGCCACTGATGCTGCAACCCGTAAATACAATGCCCCACTAATGCCTCTGACAGTGGGAAACACCATATGAAAGTAAGAGGTGGTCACAGACGTAATCTTCGTGCTTTCGGCGTCACGTGCAGCTGCTAAGCACACACTGCTTGTCAATTCTTCACAAAAACAGAGCTTGGCAGACACACACACACACGCACGCACGCACGCACGCACGCACGCACGCACGCACGCACGCACGCACGCACGCACGCAAACGCACACCAGTGTCA